TTTTCCCTTCCAGCGGCCCGCACGCTTTCGTCCAGCTGCTGGAAGTGGTTTTGCTCGTTCTTGGGCATTCTAACTATCATGGACTTCCCTAAATGCTACAGCAGCCTATGGGATGTTCTCCTAAGGCTTTGGACCCCATTCTTCTCTCTCATGCTAACCCATGTATTTGGGCCCGAGGAATGGGCCTGAGCTTTAGTGCTCCCAAGTAGCCTAAAGCTTTCATCCCTCGTTCCCTCAATGGGCCCTGTGAGTGCCCGTACCCATCCATGCCACAACCTTCTCAGCAAGCCCCGGGTGATTACGTGGCTTGGGCCCACTTGAGCTTGTAGCATGGCGTGATGGCATCGCATGTTTATTCGTTGTGCTTGTGCTTGAGTTTAATTGTGCTATAATAAGCCGAGCTCAAATTAAATAACACCGGATAGATTCATGAGCGTGAACTTATATAGCCGTTGCGTTTTTGGCATGCTTGCTTGGCGTGATGTGTGACCCGTGGCTCGCGTAGGTGTCCTACAATTCCCTATTATGCCCCGGTCGAGTTTCTTTTGTAATTAATTATTTGCACCGGGCTGACAATAAGCTTGGGCCTAACCCCCTGGATTTTTGGGCCTCAACATTAGCCCCCTTGATTATTGGGGCCATGAGCGGATCTTGAGATGGGCCTAATAATCAAACCCAGCCCAAAAGTCAAATCGATGTCAGACGATATGACCTTCTTGTTTCCCGCGTGAGTGTGCTGTTGTCATGATGGTCTTCCAGCAGCCTTTTACGTTTCCCAGGTACGCTTCGTTTAAGTCTGTTTTATTCCACCCGCCTTTTACTTCTTCTTCTTCCTCTCCCCTTTTCGTCTTCGGTTTCTCCTCTCCGTGCGTGTGCATCCCAACTCTTCACTCACATTTCTGGATTTTGCTGGTTCTTCCTCAAACCCAGGCTTGGAGACTTTCTGGGACAGGAAATTGCTAAGGGGCGTCCTTCATAACCGCCAGTTGGTTAAGCGCAGAGAAACCGTTCGCAACTGCTGGGAGGGGCCACCGTTCCCTTTTAAAAACCCTAACCTTTCGATTTTCTTCTCCAATCCGCCGAAGGCTAGGCTCAGCGCGGTTATTTCTCAGAGCAAGAAGCGATTTGGAGAGAAAATTGCAAGGCACTTCCCCCTTCTTCTTCGTCTCCGTCAAGCCGCTGGAACAAACACCATAGAGGGCAGGGGTAAGTCTCACTCCTTTATTTCTTTCTTCAGTCGCTGTTGCTGTTTGCTTGCTCGATTCCCCTTCCCCTTTTTCTTAACCCAAGTCTGGATCTTGGGATATGCATCACCAATTAGCAAATTCAAGTGTCAATTTGTCTTCTATTTTTTTTTTTCTTTTCGAATAGCCCCCTTTTTGGGTGAAATCGTATAAACGCGTTGGCCTGATCCTTCTACAAGCGTGATATTGGCATGAAATTGTAGAAACAATGGAGCTGTGCATATGCGTGCTTGTGTTTCTTTTCTGTTCCCCTGTTTTGGCATAGTGAGAGTTTGGGTCTTCAGGCTTTTCGTGAAGGTGCTGGAACTTACGCTTTTTTTTTTGCAGATACCAGTGACTTAGTGGCCCTCGTCATGGCATCCACCGATCTTCCGCCAATCATGATGGACCACCTATATTCGATGGATGATGGTCTCAAAGCGGGAGGGCCGCTCTTGCCGCTTGAAAAAGCTTGTGAGAATCCTGTTGTTGGCGATGAGCCACTGCCTGAGACCGTCTCCGTGGTCGAGCCTGCTTCCGTATCTAGGTGCTGCATTGAGAAAGGCCTATTTCCAGCCGTCCCCTTATTCTTTCAGCATCCTTGCAGCATCAGTAAAAGCTGGTCAGAGTGGGTTGACCATGAGCTGCTGAACCCATCTACTTGCGATATTTTACGCCGGGTGCAAGTTCTTGACGCCATCTTCCTATCCAAGCTGTGGGATATCCATATCGAAGCAAGGATGCTCCGTCATGTGGTCCGGAGGTGGAGCAAAGCTACTCACACCTTTGTATGCTCGTGGGGAGAGTTTACTCCGACTCTTGAAGACGTAGCAAACATATCTCGCCTCCCTGTATGCGGTGATCGGAGCCCTTTTGATATTGCTCTTACCCCGGCAGAGATAGACACCCTTGCAGTCCTGCGAAAGGGCGCTCCTACCTCTCCCAGCACTTCGCTTCGCTTCAGCAACTGGATACAGTACTTTGGTGATGTGGATAGGCGGGGACCTTGGCGGCTAGCTGCGTTTATATCACTGTGGCTCGGGCGATTCGTGCTCTGTGACTTTTCCCAGGACTGCCTTCATGAGCGTGTATTTCCTTTGGCCTTGGCTATCGCCCGAGGTGACTTAATTCCTTTAGCCCCCGTGTTCCTAGGGCACTTATACAGGCTTCTTGATCAGTGTCAGATTTTGGAGAAGAATGCGGCGGGAACCATGGGCGTAGAGACCCTTCTGAATTCTGGCTTCTTGCAGGTGTTTTTGTGGGAACACCTCAAGGGGCTGGACGTGTGCCCACTCCCCTATTCGTATGCTCTGCAGTCCGCTGATACGGGCAATGGTTCTTTCATGCCGGACAGCCTCCCTCTCGTCTGCAGGTGGTTTAAGCGAATGCAGAGAAAAGGCCAAAATGTTTTAAGGCTGCTGGATGATATTGAGCACTTCGTCTTTCGCCCGTACGGCACTTCAGCGGAAACCTTCACTTTTGTGCCCTTTTATGCTGACGTTGACGATATTGTTGAGGTTCCGGCAGTGATGCCTCAGGGCTGCAGTTTCAGAAGATACGCCTTGTTGAATGCCGCATGCCTCCCACTGCCCACTTTAGGCGACAACCGCTCGGAGGTCTCCGCGACTTACTCACCCCACCGGGTCAGACGGCAGCTTGGACTTGACCAGGGCGTGCCAAACGATCCTAGCCATGGTGACCCCTTCCTACTTCACAGGGCCTTCTGGAGCAACCGCAACATACCGGACAGCGTTAGGCCCCCTTTCCTAGCCGGCAGGAGAAGAATTGGTGGTTTCTCACTTGGATATCAAGCCTACTGGAACCGCTGCCTTGCTTCCATGCGCGAGTTCCAATCCTCCCCTTGTGACAGATTGCCTCCGACTACCGCTCGCCTTGCTGGTCTAGTATCGGAAGAGAAAGCAATCCCCTTAAGCGTGAAGCGCAACCTGCCATTTATTTCTAAAAGTGGTGACATAGTCGGGGAGTTCTCCAAGCCAAAGCAAAAACCGGGAGCGCAGAGCCCCTGCAGTTCTGGAAAAAGGGCAACGCCGGCGTCAGGTAAACAGAAACGGGAGGAGAAGCCAAGCGCGAAGAAGGAGCAGACCGCAAGTAAACCTAAAAGGTTCATTCCAAAGGTGGCATCGAGCGGCCCCTCCTGAACTAAAGAAGTAACTCCCCCAGCACGTTCACAGCCTTCAAAGTCTGCTGCATCTGAGAGCCAGGGCCGCACTGACAAGGCGCCGGAGACCACCCCTCTTCGCAGTAAGTGCTGACCACTTTCTTTTGCATGCTCTGCCTTCTTTTTTTTATCTATTCATCTAACCTTCCCCTTTTTTTTTTTTCTTTTTTCTTTTTTTTTCTTTTTCCTAGAAAAAATGGGCACCACCCCGAAGAGGAAGAGAAGCGGTGCATCTCCTGTGGCTCCGAAACGTCGTAGCATGCGTATTCTGCAAACAAGGTTCAGTGGGGCTCGCACAAGTAACAGCGGAGCTTCTGGAGTTGGTACTGTTGTGTCTATTGATGATGATAGCGACGACAAGGATGCCGCTGAGACCGAGGCTAGTGTCCCAGAGCAAGAGGATACTTGCGAGGATCCTGGTGAGGGTGATTACCATGATCATGCTGAAGATGCATTTGTGCTTCCCAGCGGCTACCCGGAAGAGCAGGGCGGCTCAGATGCTTTCACAAACAGCAATGCAATTTGTGCTTCCCAGCGGCTACCCGGAAGAGCAGGGCGGCTCGGATGCTTTCACAAACAGCAATGCGCGTCGCATCAACATTAAATCGGTATCCATCTCATGCCTTCACTTTGCAGATTGTCGATGTTACTGATGACCAAAAACTTGCTGCTGCTGTTGCTGATTCTGTACAGAGTACCCAAGAGGTATCCATCGTTCGCTTTGCTTACATATTCTTTTCCTATTTTCCATTCTTCTTTAGTCGGGCAATCCTTCTCTTGCCTTCTAATGACGTAGCTCGCCAAACGCCTCATTCTTATCTTGCATACTCTCTCCCTTTTTCTTTTTTTAGGTTGGGCATGTTGCTCATGGTATGGCAATCGTGCCCTTGCCGAATCTTCTTCGACCATAGTACCAGCAAGCTCTCCAGACAAAGCATCCATGTCTCAGGTCGCGAGTCCATTGTCGCCCATCATCCGGCACTTCCTTCGAAGGAACCTGGAGCCCGACCTTTCACCCACTCTTCCAGCAGCTTTCCGGAGTAAGACCCTTACTTTTCATGGTACACTGCCCGCTTCATCCCACATTCAACCGCTCCTCCGGATACCAGGCTCGAGTTCCCCAGCGCCACCTCCATTGATTCCATCTGATAATGTCGTTACCAATGAGGAGGCCTCGGCTAATGATATTGTTACGGAGGTCATTCCCGCAAGGCACCCATCCCACACATCTTGGCTGGAGTGGGAACGGTCCTTTATTGCATTTAGGGCCTTCTTTGATAGTGGAGTCCAGGTCCTTCGATCCGCAGATGAGCTCCTGCCACTTTGTCACCGATTTAATGGCTACGCGATGTTTCGTGGAGCTCTTGTTTATCCCGAGACAGTTGCGGCTTTGGAGAAATTTATAGACAAATACGGAGACTTCATGGATAGTACTAGCATCACCTCTTCCTTCTCGCGGTGTGCTGCCTTCCGGACCCTTGGCCTAGTGCTCCATGGAATGGATACCGTGCAATTGCTGGATATTACGGACCACAGACTTCTTTGCTGGCGGGATGCGGTTTGCGAGGCCATGACCTTGAACTTTCGGGTAGATTTTCTTTTGAACTTGGTGCGAGATTTGGCACGTGCTGTCTTTGGGGCACGAGCTGTTCATAGCATGGAGTTGTCTTCCAGTCATGACAAAATAAGAGCAGCGGCGGAGGCCCTGAGTCTTAAGCAACGTGAGCTGGAAAATCAGCATGAGGAACTGCGCGCCCTTCTTCTCACCCAAGGTGTTTCCGCCGATGGTGCTGGCTGCGTGGCAGAGGCAATAACCAGCTCCTCCTGCAAGGCTTCTGCTATCCTTTTTTAGCTGTATCTGATGGTTTCGAGGTGCGTGGCCTTCCTACTCATGCTCCTTCCTTGTTTTTTTTTTATACAGTAATTTTCTAGCACCTGCCTATTTTCTTCTGACATTCACGCTTGCCTTGCAAGTTGCTCTTTTGCTTTACATGAAATTGACCAGCCCAACATGTTGAAGAACACATTAGCTCCAGCTTGTGTAACTTAGTTGTGTTTAGGCCGTATTTTCTTTTGATGTTCCAACACCTGTACTGTGAAATCCTTGTATTGTAACGCTGTTGTGATCAAGCTGCTAGAACCTACGTTTTATTTTCTTTTGGATGCTGGAGACACATTGTAACCTCTGCTTGGTATATATATATATATATATGTGCTGCCTGGTTGGTGGAATTTGTGCTTGCGAATTGCTTGAGGTCCTTTGAGATTTTCTGACGGGTTGGATATCTTTAAAAGCAGAGCATATGCTGTCAAAAAATTTTTTTTTTTTGGTAGCATTCCCAAACTTTATTTGCATGGCTTGCCTAACTACTAAGCTCGAAAAATACCTTCTCATCATGCTTTGAAGGGACCAGACACGATTTTCCCCGTGATCTTTATAAAATTCACAGATACTTCGCATATCCCGACTGCTTCCCAAAAGAGAATCATGATTTTGTCGTCCCAGCATTCCAAGAATGCATGCCTTAATAGCTTGGCCTCGCATACTGATGTTATTTTGCTTGGGCTTGATAGTTCGGGATCCCATCCAAGTGGCTTTGCTTGGCATGTTTTACTGCTAAGTAGCATGTGTTTATCATTTTTTTTTTTTCGCGTACATATATATAGTGTTTGGTGCAAAGTAAGTTTGGGGTACGTAAAGTAATATTTCAGAGGCAAGTTTTCTTTTTCAAAATACTCCTTCATTTTCATTGCAAAGTTCATGCTACCATAGTGGTGCATCGTACAATAATTTTCAAAATACCAAGTGAGATCATAGAAGGAGTTCATATTTGAAATGAAAAGAAATGCCATAACGAAAGTGCAGAATATAAAACTAACTTAGTAGTAGTACGGTTTGAGCCACTTCCCGTTGATGGGATCCGTCAGCATGCCTTCTTTGAGAGAGATCAAGCGATAATAGCCGCTGCTGTAAACTTCTTTGACTGCGAATGG